AAATTGAGAACTGCTGCCCTAAATTTTTATTTAGATGTCAGTTAAACATCTTTAAGTTTACCAATATTTTTAGCCATAAACGTTTATAAAGTTTTAATTGTCATAATAATTTTCTTAATAATGCCTTTTTTTTTTTTTTTTTGTGACTGGTAAGGGGATCGCAACCCTTGGCCCGATGTGGCCTGCACCATGCTCATCCAGTGAGAACCGGCCATCCCTATATAGGATCCGAACCCCCGGCCTCGGCGCTCCCAGCGCTGCACTCTCCCGAGTGAGCCACAGGGTCGGCCCAATAATGCCTTTCTGATATACAATTAAGTGCTTTCTCAATTGAAGGTTATAATAAATATTGGCAGGTAATTTTGAGGATTTTTCTAGGAATATGTTTGTCACTCTATAAACAAAATCAAAATTAGGTTAAGGCAATGAAGGTCATGCATGACAAGTTTACAAATAGAATATTCATGTTTTAACCTATTAAAATATTTTTTCTTTTAAAATTCCATAAACATGTTGCCCCTTTTTTCAGAATGTTACCTTATGGTTGTCTGTCAATTGGTGATTGTGTGGGACTTATTGAGGTGGTAAGAAATTCTCACACTATCATGCAAATTCAGTGCAAAGGTGGCCTGAAAGGTGCACTGCAGTTCAACAGCCACACACTACATCAGTGGCTCAAAGACAAGAACAAAGGAGAAATGTGAGTTTTATTATTCTTTCTTCCTGTGTTAATCTAAGTTTTTGTTAGATGAGTTTGGTAATTGCTCTGGGTTAGACCAGAGAAAACAATTGTACTTATTTTGGGAAAAAATATACTCAACTTTTGAAATATTTGAGGTTATTGTGTTTAAATGATCACAGTTGCTTATAACTTGGTAAAATTTTATACATTCAACTTATGTATCTAAAATGTATTCTTACTGCTTATTTTTTTTTAAAAAACTAACATTGCACATTTAAAATTTTAGTTCTAATTCAATGTTAAAATGATTAGGAAAAAATCAATTTTAATTTAATTTTAATTTTTAACAAGTATTTTTTCACTCTGATAAGAGTTATTCTGTGGTCAGGGAACATCTAGAAATTTCCTTAGAAACCCTTGGGAACTTCAGAATCTCAAAATTCCTCAGATCTTTGTCTTTTTTTTAAAAAAGATGACCGGTAACGGGATCTTAACACTTGACTTGGTGTTGTCAGCACCATGCTCAGCCAGCGAGCTAACTGGCCATCCCTATATGGGATTTTTAAAAAAGATGACCGGTAATGGGATCTTAACACTTGACTTGGTGTTGTCAGCACCATGCTCAGTCAGCGAGCTAACTGGCCATCCCTATATGGGATCCGAACCCTGGGCCTTGGTGTTATCAGCACCACACTCTCCTGAGTGAGCCACGGGCCAGCCCAAAATTCCTCAGATCTTTGGACATGAATTCTTTCTTCCCTAATGTCAGTGATTGTTTTTGTTATTTGAACAGAAACTTTGACCATCTTTTCCAACTTAATCTGGGTCGTTCTCTATTTCCACACTGCTCATAAGGTGTTTATTTCTTCTTGTAGATATGATGCAGCCATTGACCTGTTTACCCGTTCATGTGCCGGATATTGTGTCGCTACCTTCATTTTGGGAATTGGAGATCGTCACAATAGTAACATCATGGTTAAAGATGATGGACAAGTAATCATTTTCTCTCTTTAAAATGTTTTGATGTTCATAAGCTAAATTTATAAATTCAACATAAATATGTCTGCATGTGTCAAACTATAACATAATTTCTTATTTTTGAAAGCTATTTCATATAGATTTTGGGCACTTTTTGGATCACAAGAAGAAAAAATTTGGCTATAAGCGAGAACGTGTGCCATTTGTTTTGACACAAGATTTCTTAATAGTGATTAGTAAAGGAGCCCAAGAATGCACAAAGACAAGAGAATTTGAGAGGTAAGCTCAAGAACTCAAAAACATAAAATAAATAATTCTTGCTGTTCTATCAGAAGCAATTGATATCTTTCAAGCAATTTAAATATTGGATATTAGATTACCACTTTAGCAAAAACTGAACATTTTACTGTTTTATTTATTTATCTGTGTGATGCTTTGAAGGAAAATGGAAAGGGAAACCAATTTAATTTAGTGAGCTAATTAAGGACTAAAAAGAAAGTAAACCTTAAACTTTATAACATGTTTAAAGTTTTTATTTGCTGCTGTTTAAGTAATTGGACTCCACTTTCTCTATATTGACAAATAATGCATAGTGCTTAAAAAAACATTTTTTAGTCATATAATTTGAGGAAGGTTGGTCAACTATAATTACCATGTTTATTCATAATTTTTCTTATCACCTTGTGGTGTATCATCAATCTACCTTAGACCTTGATAAAGTACCATTTAAAATTCTGTTTTATCTATAACTCAGTCTTGACCCTAGCCTAAGCCCTAAAAACTTTAGTATGGACCAATCCTTGGGTTTAATATATACTTATTAAAGCATGTATTAAATACTCCTGATATGCCAGGGATTGTTCTAGGTATGAGGGATAAAACGGTAAACAAAGTCCTCATCCTTGTGTAGTTTACATTCTAGTGTGGTAAAGGAAACAGAAAAGTGTTGGCAAGGAGAGCTAGGAGAGGAATGCTGTTTTTTATAGCTTCGTCCAAGAAAGCCTCTGTAATTATGTGACATTTGAGCAGAGACCTGAAGGTTTTACCACTTTTTGCTCCATACTGACCAGACTGTTCTTATTACTTATAGGTTTCAGGAGATGTGTTACAAGGCTTATCTAGCTATTCGGCAGCATGCTAATCTCTTCATAAATCTTTTCTCAATGATGCTTGGCTCTGGAATGCCAGAACTACAATCTTTTGATGACATTGCATACATTCGAAAGACCCTAGCCTTAGATAAAACTGAGCAAGAGGCTTTGGAGTATTTCATGAAACAAATGAACGATGCACATCATGGTGGCTGGACAACAAAAATGGATTGGATCTTCCACACAATTAAGCAGCATGCATTGAACTGAAATGATAACTGAGAAACTGAAAGCTCATTATCTGGATTCTACACTGCACTGTTAATAACTGTCAACAGGCAAAGACTGATTGCAGAGGAATTGCACAATCCATGAACAGCATTAGAATTTACAGCAAAGACAGAAAGAAAATACTGTATAATTTAAATAATGTAAAAGCAAACAGGGTTTGATAGCACTTAAACTAGTTCATTTCAAAATTAAGCTTTAGAATAATGCGCAATTTCATGTTATGCCTTAAGTCCAAAAAGGTAAACTTTGAACTTTGTTTGTATCTTTTTTTAAAAAACAAAACAAAACAAAAACCCCAAAATATATAGAAATAATGGAGAAGGAAAAAGAATGATGGTTTTTTTTTGTCTTGCAAATGTTCTATGTTTTGAAATGTGGACACAACAAAGGCTGTTATTGCATTAGGTCTAAGTAAACTGGAGTTTATGTTAAACTACATAAGATTGGAAAAAAATGAAAATTTCTTATTTTTCCATTGCTGTTCAATTTATAGTTTGAAGTGGGTTTTTTGACTCCTTGATTAATGAAGAAAAATGCTTGGGGTGGAAGGGACTCGAGATTTCACCAGAGACTTTTTAATAAACCAAACCTTTTGACGATTTGGGGTCTTATCTGCAAGTTTTGGAGGCAGTCACAAATGAGACCTGATATATGGTGGTATTTGAGGGTTTTTTCCTGGACAGTATTTACAAGGATCTGATTCTTATTTCCCAGGAAAATTCTAGGTTCCCACAAAGTAAAAAAATCATCACAGAAAAAAGAATGAGCAGGAATAGTTCTTGTTCAAGAATTATACAGTATTTACCTTAAGTTGATTTTTTTCTCCTTTTGCAGTTCAACTGAATACATTTTTCATGCATGTTTTCCAGAAAATAGAAGTATTAATGTTATTAAGAAGATTATTTTTTTTATTAAAGGCTATTTATATTATAGAAACTATCATTAATATATATTCTTTATTTACATGATCTGTCCCATAGTCATGCGTTGTTTTGCACCCCAAATTTTTTATTTGTAGTAGCATGGTCAGCTTTTCTCTTGGTCTGTAAATGAGGCTCAGCACTATCCTGTTTATACCAATAACCAGTGTGTAACCACTTAAGGAAAACAGATTCAACTTATTCCTCTTTCCTTTTATTTCTGTTTTCACATGAATTCCCCCATCATCCTTCCTCTTTTATAACTGAGAATGGCTCAATCATATGAAATTAGTTACCAAAATTAACACAAAAAATTTAGACTGTCTTCCTTATTGCTTAAACTCTTCTACTGAGGTATGCTCATGCATAATACTTTATAATATGGGGGAATAGAAACCGTGAACTTTTTATCCTTTAAGCTGTTTATCCATATGTCAATAACAAAAGTAGGACATTAAACCATGTCCCATTTCCAAGTAGTCAGGGCTTACTCTCCAACTTTATTAAATCCCATTCAAGCACAGAACACATTCTTAAATATTTTGAAAAACATTAACCCTAGATGTAGGGGCTAATGCTAGTCATCATTCTAGAATCTGATATTTTATTCAGTATTTGACATGAATGATTAATGCCCTAGGAAGTAGCTTTAGCAAATGTCCAGGTGCCACACCAAGAAAAGTGCAATAATTTACTGACAGTTTCTAGATTAGACATATTACTGGAAAACAACTTTAATGAAGAGTGGACATTGTATAATCTAGTAAAACAGCATCACTTTAAAAATATTTATGAAATCAGTTACTTATAGTAGAAGTCTTGAATAGTGAGCAAGGGACTCTAATACAAATACTCTTAATATCTGGCTATTTTAGAACCCTTAAAGGGCATAATTAATGGAGATTTAGGTACTTCACCGAAGCATGTATATAATATTGCCAACAAGAAAAACAAATTTGAAGGTTAGAGGAACTTATTTCTATAAACTGTCTTGGAGTAGTTAAGCAGAATTTAAATTCTGTTTTAAGCAGGAAACTACATGGACTCTTTTGCAGATATAAAAGATTTCATAAGTTATTAAAACTTCATGATTAACATTTTATGTCATTTAGATATGCAAATGATACATACTAACATCCCAGTCTTTTCTGTATCAGGAATTGATTATAGGAAAACTCAGTGAAATGGTACAAATCAAACTTTGATGGTGGAAACTGAAGATTTAGCAGAGTTTTACTCAAGTGCCAAAAAAGCTTTGAGCCTCCTTGCACAAAATTTATATAGTTTTTGCATTTTTTTCACATCAGTTCAGATAGTTGTCCTTCTTCCCCCAGGACATCTCCCCCATTAAAACACACAAGCCACAAAGCTTATTTCATCATTTACATTTATTTTCAAGAGTTACTGCAACCACATTAATTCTATTTGAAGGAGTGTAGACAAATTCTATAAAGAATGTAAGTTAAGTGATCTAACCAAGAAAAGAGGGACTGGTGGTACTTAGAAAGGCAAAGAACCAAAAGTTGAATACTACATGGGGTGACTATGATCTCTTTCAAGTCAGCAATAATATAGCCACTTCCATGTACTTCAGTATCAGAGATCAGTTCCCACGAATTGGATAGTTCTATACCAACCATCCTTGTCACTGAATATGGTGTAACTGACTATTAGCTCTACAGTTTCATTGGGTCACTTGAGAGATATTTTCTTCAATAATTATTTTGGAAAAAAAAAACATGTCTAAAGCCTAATTTTAAACATAGCAGGAAATAACTGTTTGAAATAGTTTTATGCTTTAACTTTATACCATATTTTCATATATACAAAAACATTTATTTTGAAGATTTTTAGACTGCTATTAATTTGAAATTTGTTAATCTTGTTGTGGAATTTGTTGGGGTTTTTTCTTTTTAAAGATGTTTTAATTGAATTTTTTTAAAGAAGAATGGAATTTGGTTGCTATTTAATGATAGAGACTAAGCTTTTTGTGGTTCTTAGTGTCCTCTGTAAAACTTAGTGTCCAAATTATCAACTCCGAGGTTTTCCCTTCTATTCTGCTTTATATTACAAGCCCATTAGGAAATGGGAACCTGGTGAATATATAATGAATTGTAAAATATTTTAATGTGTAACTTTTTCAACTGTGAAACTATGACTATTGATTTTTTGATGAAAACAGCTGCTGATAAAGTATTTTGTGTAAAGTGTAGTTCTTATTAATCAGGAAAATGATGACTTGATTAGATTGTATACATCCTCTTGGATTTTATTTTTAATGGATTGGTGATTTTCACATAGGTAAAATACAGTTCATCTGTATTCTTTTTTCCATCAAAAATTAATTGATTTGGCATTATAAAAAATTGTGGGCAGTCTGTTTTAAAGGTACCATAGAAATTTCACAGCACATAAACTTGGATTTGTTTCTTTTCTTGATGATTTTGTAAATCCATTTAATTCATATTTAGATCAATAGACCATTCTTGCCAACTCTTTGAAGAAACTTAATTTCCAGAAATATTTTAAAGCTACCCCATTAACTTTTTCTGAATATCGTAAGTTCCTCTTGTTTCTGTGTCTGCACAAACTGCAGGCATGGGCTGGACCCACGCAGTCAAGAGTCTACCATAAAAAATTACTTTGATGTCCAAGACATCACTAAAATATTTCAAGTTAAAGACAATATGTGTTGTTAATAGATTGTGGTGTTTCTACTATTTAAAGACAATTTTCATATGTTCAGATGTTTTTGAGAAGAGAGGAATGTGAAGGGTGTGCAGAACAGAGAGGAGCAATTGAATGAATTATATTCTTTATATCCATTCTGCTCAGATGGGGCATGTCTAAGAGTAGGCTGAAAGTTGTTAGAGTATATTGTGCATACCATGAGAGAATTAACTCTTCATCAAGGATGGGATTGTGATGGCTGAACGATATTCAGCATTGACAGCATCCTCAGATAATTCTTCGTGACAATAATACAGCTGGGCTGTTTTTTAAAATGCAAAATCATTTTTAATTATTACATTAAAAATTGTAAATATATCTTATGTGCCATGGCCTGGAAAGCCTGTTTTCTTTTCTCTTAAAAATTATTTTTACCTTGTGAAAGATTATGGGGTTTATCTCAAGGTAACTATGACCCTGATAAAATTGGATTGCTAACTCTACCTCAGAGAAAAATAGATGAGTCACGATTCAATACTTCAGGCTTTGGTATTATGGAAATTTTTCAGAGCATTATATTTTAGATTTATAGATTTGGCATGCCTTGTTTTTAATGGTATAGGCAACATTAAGAAAATTTTTGGCTGAAATTTAATCCTTGCTCCAGCCATTTGCAAAAGGCTATCATGTGAGGAGGTTCATGGTACTAGGTTCTTCAATTTGGCATTTGAAATTCATTTTGTTCTCTGTTCTTTATTATTAGTGCATTTGGTGTGTGTATATTTGCACATCTTTTTATTTGTATACACACTGCTTGATAGCCCTAGTCAAGAGGCATCTTCTGTAAAAAGTGAAAACAAATGTCAAGGTTCTAAAATTCAGACTCCTAAATTTATTAGGAGTCTCCCAAGTTGGGATGTTAAGTCTTTAAATAAATTTACTTATTTCATTCAAGTATTCCACTTGATTATGATTTTGCACTTCCTTTTTATTAGTACAGCAATAATTAGTTTTGCTTGGTATTAGGTATGTTAATATTCCAGCCATGCTAGTTAGCATAAAGTGACAGATGTGAATCATAAGGAAATTTCCTGACTTAATTTTTACACAACTACATTTAAGAGTTTTAGTGGGGAGAAAAAGTAAAATTAATCCATTGTTTGTATAGTATTATTAGGTAACTAATTTTCACTACCAACATTAGCCTCCATTCCTCAGGTTGGTAAGTACAGAAAAGGTTTTTAAGCCAATTACAGTCTGTGAATCTATATGCAACATTACTTAATCTGTCACTACAATAATTTTGTGGTTATGCTAAAAACCATGTATATTTTTAGGTATTCTTATTTTTGTTAATCTTTCTAGATTAGCAAGGAGGCAGAAAACCTTCATTGTTTCATTAAAATATCTTTAATAGACTAAATTCTAGTATGAATTTCCAAATGTGGTCATTATTTATTGATTTCATAAGAAGTCCCTTATCAGGATTCATTTATGTTCCTAAGAGTGGTTGAAGAATTTGACCTTCATCTGATTTCTAGAAATGTTTTTGACTATGGAACCGAAGTTTCAAATTCAGTTGATGGTTTCAGTGTGACTCAGCCCTCAGACTTATTTGAGTTGAATAAAATCTTTTTTAAAAAATCGTTTTGGAAAATAACATAATACTTTAATATCTTGGGAAATGTGACATACCAAAAGAAGACTACTAACACATCAAATGTTTATTTTGGAAGCTTCAACAAGAAGATCAAACGACCCTTTTTTTAGCCCCATTAATTGTAGCAAGTCTATTTCTCTATATTTTGTCATTCAGTGAATTGAAGTCCTATGGTATACTGCACAAGTTAGAAGAAAAGTGCTTTTAATGTTCATTTAATGATGGCCCAAAGAGTATTTGACACGGCAAGATGCATGTGTTACTATATTGAGAACATAGAATAATACAGTATCACTAAATTTAAGACCTTTTTCCCAGTCTTGCTATTATTAGCAAGAAGTTTAGCCTGTGACTGCACTTATTGTTTGTGCTCATCAAAAACTGTCAATGTCTGCTTTTCTTTAACTTTTCAGTCTGTAACATCACGCTGTTTATTAAAAAAATTATTTTGACTTGTGTCCAAACAATCCTTATTGTACTATATAAACAAAAAACTGTGATAATTCTATTTTGCCATTTCTTTTGAAAAGCAGATCAGTGTTGCTAATATCAAAATTTAACTAGATTTCTGTAACACCAAGGTCAAGGGTTCAGATCCCCATACCAGCCAGCCACCAAAAAAACAAAAATTTAGATTTGAGTTCTTTTCAATAATGACTAAACGTGTGATTGAAAACTTGTAGCTATTATGTCTTAAAAGCCAATTTTTCTGCTCCAGTTAAGTGATCAAGATTAGAGAAATATAGCTTTAAATATTAACTTCCTTTAAGCATAATGAATTATATACTTGTATTTTAAGCAAAAATATATGTATATGCATATATGTATGAACGTATGTATGTATATGTATAGGTAGATGAACTTTTTTCCCTAAGTCAGTTGAAGACCAGAACCTAGAAGTGAAGTTAGACTAGAAGCAAACTGGTTTTGCTTTCAGTTTTCATAAATGTTGCCGAAGGTAAGTCTGAGCTTTTCTTTGACCACTAGTGCACATGGGCATTGATACTTAGTATTTCCGAGCAATTAAACAAATCATTTCTTACATTTTATTTATTTGCCAAAGGGTTTGAGTGACTTCGAATTGACTTTGTTCTCCAAGGGTAATGTCTCTTTAACTAAGTAGCCACTGTCTGAATGAAAAACTGTAGTAAACACTCTGGATTTCAGATTAGTGGTTTTGAATTTGTTAAAAATCCCAAGAATTGCATATTGTTAGTTGGAAGTCAAATTTACTAAGAAATGGAATAGAAATGCGCCCTTCATTTAAGAATAAACTACAGAATCTCACTTTGCAGAATGATTTAAAATGCACATCCGTACATATATTTTATAACAGGGAAGTCTTTGTTGTACAAAATGATTTACCACAGCCTTTTAAACAGATTCTGGGCCCTAAATGAATATCACATTTAGCCAAGAGAATCAGGGGGAGGGGGAACAGGCAGAGGGAATCCGCTCTCGCAGCTCCTTATCCTAGCCTCTCTACCAGCTGTCCAGTGAGAAGTACCAAGGCTGACAGAATATTGCAACTTAGCACAAGATTTTTCTCAGTCTACTAACATTTTGAGCACCTCTGCTAGATGCCGGAAACTAAACTAGGTGTTCCACATACCCTACCTTGTTTATTCCTTGAAATAACCTCATAAAATAAGAGTATTCCCATTTTATAGATGAGAAGAGATGCAGTTTAGCTGATTTGTCCAAGGATACATATCTACAAAATTGTAATCATGGCCTACAAATTCAAATAAATCTTACTCTGACACACATGCTCTCTTCACCATTCCACCCTAGAAAAAGGGTAAAACACTAAAACTTTTCATTACTGATCAGGTTAATATTGCTCTATTTAATTATGCAGTTTATTTAGTAATTTGTGACTTGAATTGCTAAAAGGCATTAAATTGACATAGAATCAAAGCTTTTGGTTTCATTACATCTACATGCAAAGGTCTCAAAAGTTTCTTTTTTTTTTTTTGTCTTTTTTGTCTTTTTTCCATGTCCGGCGACGGATCGCAACCCTCAGTGTTGCCCCCGTACCGGACCGGGGATGCATTCACTTCATATTTCTAGCCATTTCTCCTACTCCCACCAGAATGTGTACAAACAGCAAAATGAGCTTATGGAAAGCACAATTAACTAGAAAAATGTTGCTGAAAGAAAAATTCCATAGTACATGGCAAGGTTAAGTACAAATAACTCTAAACTTAGTAAGTTTTCTAGGCAGCAGCTTTTCCCCTTTACCTTCGTGAATGGTGAAGAAAGAACAAACTAAAATATGGTAGGTCCATGTTTTCTTAAGTTTTCTATCAGATTTTTATCTTTCTACTGTGAGTGAACTGTACTAAGAATTTTTTGTGAGAAATGTTTTAATGTGAACTATATTGTATAGAGTTAGGCTGATGGTTCAGTGCTCAATGGTTTATATACCCTCATTGTTATTTCCACATTGACAGGTTCTTGCTAGAGCTGAAATTTGAAAAAGAATAACTAACGAATTCATTTTGCCATGTGGAAACAAAAAGTGCTTCCTTGGCTTATGTGGAAAGAGATTTGGAGTAGAAAAGATGGTGAGTTTGTATGTATAGAATAAGTAGAATACATAGGAGGTTTTTTTAAAAAAATTTTCCCACATGAAAATATGATACTGTAAATACCCTTTACATGGATAGTTTGCAAGTAGGTATGTTCCGATCCTAAACTTCAGAAGGTGCAGGTATCTAAAGGCAAGCACTTTAATTTGGCTACCCTCTTAGGATTTCTCTCCTTCTTCCTCTGCTCCACCCAATCCTCCACAGTTTGAATCAATGCTGTTCTATATAGGGTACTTTGCCACCTACCTCATCTCTGACTGCAGTGCTATATTTTTCACACAGTAGGGACAGGTGCTGTGTTAATCTCACCATGCCAACAATCAGGGCACCACCTAGTAGAGTCAACGAAGGCCAAAATAAACAGTGGAAGATAACCATTTGGTCATACTTTTTTATAAGAACGATATCTTCAGATTGGCTTTCTGGACTGTAGAAGCATGAAAAAGGAGTTCCATTTTTGTGATCGAAGAATTCCTTTATATTCAGAGCACTGTTGACCAAATCATTCCTATCTCGGTGGCACTTAGGTGTGTAAAAGCACTAGGAATATGGAGGAGGAGAAAAGATAAGGGCACTATCACCAATACCAACCACTTAACAGTTTTAATTCTGAAATAGTTTCAGGCTGAAGATATTAGTGAGGAGTTTCAGTCTTAGAAGGTGATGAAATATCAGCAGGAGTACACAGAGTGAAATTGCCATTTCCAGGTGCTAAGCAGGGATGTGGGAAGGAATTCTTAGATTATATGACATTGCAGGAGAGGCAGTAATTAACTTCGTAATGACTCCTCCCCAAATGCAGGTCCTTGGTCTCTTCCTGGACAATACCCCCAATGAATCCATTTATCCATTCAACAAAAGTCCTACTACAAGCTTGCAACACCTAGTATTGCCTCTATTATCTCTGTCTCGGTCTCTTGTGTCAAACCCTTTCCCTAAACGAGAGTGCAGTGGGCTTTTGCCCTAGGCCCACAGAGAGGGAACCCCACCTAGGCTGTGGGTCCTGGGAGGCAGAACCAGTGGAAAGGAAGGGAGCTCTATCAGCTGGTGATTTTTTTCAAAAAAGGTTGAGGTTTATTACCCTATCCATTAGCCACTTAAGGTACTGTGCTAAGGGCCTACAAAAATATTTAAGATCTTAAAAATTATTGCATCCAAAATAGAAAACAGAAATCATCAGATTGAAATGAGTGCTCAATTAAAGACAACAAAGTAACACATCAACTAACCTAATACAACTTAACTTTTATAGCTTGGTGTAAATATAAATTTAAAATCACATGAACCACTTGTGTAACTTATGAAAATCAAAATTATAATAGTCCTTTAAATTTCTTTGATAAGAAAAATTAGTTGCTTGATTTAAGGTAGACTGCGAGTACATTTTAACATTTTTGATATATGGGGAGTGGCATCTCTAAAAGTTAAGGCTGCCCACAAATGACTCTGATCATTGTCCCAGCCTAAAAATACCAGACACCAAGTTGTGAAAGTGGAATAATCCCCTTCCTTTCTGTATACCCTATTTCTCCTCCAAGAATGCTTTTAGCTTCATTTATCCTGATTTGATCACTATAAAAATGTTTACTAGGGGCCGGCCTGTGGCTCACTCGGTAGAGTGCGGTGCTGGTAACACCAAGGCCACGGGT